GGAGTTACTAGTACATAGATAATAGTACTATATTACTAATAACTCTGCCTTGGCCCACCAGTGGAAGGCTTAGTGAAGTCACAACAATTTCACAGAGGAGTCTATATACATTTTAAAATATATTATGGACAAGGATTTAATACTTGATTCTCAGCGATCAGCTCTTGTTTACAGACTCACTTTTAAGCTCTAGCTTTTCTAAGCTCTTCAGGTTACCTTATTGACTGAAAGGTGAAATAGTTGATCATCTTTTATGCTTTCTCTCTTTAACAGGAGAGAGCTGACCACTATGTTCAAAAACATCTGCAATTTATTTATATTTAAAGAGAGAACATGCTGCCCTCTACCTTTTCCATATAAAAAAGGCCAGCTTCTAATTGGAGATCCCTAGAAAGGAGGTTTCAGTCATGATCCATGCTCTGAATGCTTTTATCATCTTTTTTCCTAGTTTCACTCCTATCCTCGTGTAACCTTTCAAATCCAGGCTGATCCTTGCCAATGGCTTGAGGTCCTGCAGGCTTCTCCCCAGCTCTAAGCTCTGAGACCTGGGCCTTTCTTCTTCTGTGGCATGGCACTGAGGCTGCCTACAAGCTGAGCTCATAGGCTGGTAGTGTATGGATGGACTGATGGATGGATGCAGTGCCTTTACCCCACGGTCTGATGCTATAAAATTGGCACAATGCCTAAGTAGACCTTAGAGAAACTGGCTACTTCAGAAAAACATCTTGGCCCACTCAAATATCAACAAAACTCCTCCCAAAGCACGAATTACTTGGCGTTGAATGACATGTTTGTGAATGCGTGTAGGTTTTCTTTTTTTTTTTTTTTTCCCCCTCTGGTGAAAAGAAATGACTAATCCAAAGGTTATTGAAAGGGCTTATGCCTTTTCCCCCTTTTGTTGCCTCAACAGCTTGTTCTGAGTTCATGATTCAGCTGTGGATGTCCCACACCCATTCTTTACCTAGGGCAGCCAAAACTCCACCTCTTCTGTAGGTGGTGGCTCTTTGTACAGGGGCACAGAGCAAAAAGGTGTGCTCATACATTAGCGTCAATCACATCTGAATAGTAGCTGAACTGGAGAAAGCAAGAACATCCGAAACACCCCTTATTCAAGGAGGTGTTTTCTTCTGTTTAAACCTTGCAACTCAATGAAGAGTTTTGAAAAAATAGTTTCTACTTTTCCATTTTTCAAGGAAGCAAAGGATTCTTTATGTTCATTTTCTCAATTGCTAGTATTACAATAATGTTCTTCTGTTGCCCTCAGAAGCAGTGACGTGAAGCAAAAATTATAACTCAAAGCTATGCTACTTTAAAGTGAAAAACAAACAAACAAACAAATCCCACAACTTTTTTTCTGCTACTTAGTCGATAAAGTAAAAGCACAGGTATTTACTACAGCACTGCAATTCCTGTCAGCTTCCACTGGAATTGGGAACTTCTTCATGTTTCAATAAAATTTCTTTGAAATTTTTCAAAATTCTTTTTACAGTTTAAGCTGAACACAGTACTCTACCTTCTCTTCTAGTTGCGTGTACAGTTGCTATTTCAGCAACCTGTAAGTAGCTGTATCCCATCAATTAATTTTACACATCTGATTCCTACATCTCAAGGGCTCTCATGCTACATTAGGTAATTCTCAAAATCTGTTGCAGAACTTCATTCAAGGCAAGATTTATCAGAAGAGTCTTTTCTTTCCACAGCCTGTGTATGGGTTGCCCAAGAGTGTAGTGTTTGTCTTGAGCAGCAAGTTACCTCTGTGGTCTCCTATGGGGGCACTGCATAACAGAGCTCTGAAACACCTTATTTGAAGGCTTCTCAGAAAGTTTAAAGTACTTTGGCCACTTTATTTTGTATTACACTGCAAACTGTATTTAAACTATGTTTCTTAAATATGCCAGTGTTAAGAATTCTGGAAATGCAAGTCTTTGATGACATGAGGAGTGTCACATTGATCTGGCATCTCACTCATGCTTGCAGATGAACTCGGGTATGTGGGAAGGACAGCTCAGGGAATGACAAATGCTGCTGCTTTGGCTCAACAATGCTTAGAATACTTCCAACTACCACACTGTAGATCTGCTGGTATTTTTACTGACATAATTTAATTCTCTTTGGTGTCACAACCATATTACTTTTAAAATTGTGTTTCCTAAGTGTTCTTCTCGGTACACTTACTTATCAGATAGGCTTTATATGATTACATGAGACATATTTTTTTAAAATATGCCAGTGGTTCACTTCATGAGAGTGAGAAACAGCAACCTCACAATCCAAGAGCTGCTTTTTATGAAGATTGCCATCCTTCCAAGGGAGCCAGGGATTGCATGCAGAGCACTGGTAGGAACTCAACATTCTTACCGCAAGAAAAGACCCCTCTTGCGCAAAAACAAGGTGTCACCCTTGCTTTGCATAAGACAAGGGCTCTCTATGGTTTCCAAACCATATCACCATGTCTCTATCATTCCCAGTTAAATCTCCACCCACACACATACCTAAAAATTAATTGGGAACTTCTTTGAAATTAAGTTGTGAGGTAGTGACAAATATTGCTTATCAGATATTACTTGAATTCAATTTTTCACTGGGAACCTCCATGACTAGGATGAAATAAATGAGCAATGGTCTTGTTATTGTTCCTTACAAGTGACTGTCATACAAAGGATTACTCTAGGAAAATCTGAAGCCCACTGCAGTGGATGTAGTATTTCTTTGCCAGCATTCAGCAATGTGGAAAGTTTTAGATAGCTGTGATTTAAAGTCCCCCCAGCTATATGCAAAACTTCAGTAAACAGTGTGAATGGAAACTCAGCCGAGACCTGTGTTTGTTCCCTACAGACTGCCTCCACAGCATCAGACAGCTAAATGTGGATATGCATGAGTTAATCCAGAAAGTTGTATACAAATTATTCACAGGAGGGAAATTTAACTCCATAACCAAACTATCAAACTGCCAGAACAGCTGTTTATGTTGTAGTAATACCAAAAACCTAACCTAAGGCTGAGTTCCCATTGCAACTAGTTCAATCACTGCCCCCGGAAAATTGCAGGCTATTTTCTAGTCAAAGTACACAGAGGGCATAAAATCAATTAACAACACTGAGAATAAAAGCAAAGCAAATAGTAATAACACCTGGGTGGCTTTTATGTACTGCTTTTTATCAGTAGGCCTTACAGGGGTTAGTCCTACATTGTCACACAGTCCTTAGTGTATTTTTAGACCAGTCTCTCTAGGGAGATACTGTTATCCTTGGTTTATATATGAGGAACTATGACTGCAAGAAGCACCAATATTGCATGCAAGGTAGGGAACCGAACCAGAGTCTCACTGCTTGTGCACTTCATACTGCTCCCTGGAGAACTTCCTGCTGGTTGCTGAGCAAATGGAAAGGTATCATGTTGAAATATCATGGGAGAAATAGGTCCCTAAACGAGGTTTGAAAGAGGGTAAGAGAGCTTTATGAATTTTCATGTGATTTTATTTCATATACATAACAAATGCACGAGGAAGGAATGAACAAATAAATAAGCAATTATAGGCAAACTGTTATTATGAAAGTATCAGTCATCACATAGATACTAGCATTCCATTCAAGACTTCCAAAAAGCTGGTCAGTGCCTGTCAGCTGCAAAAGCTGATCATGAAAGTAGGTCCTGTGTGACAACTGAGTAGGCTTCACCAGCGGGACCTACTTCATGTCACAGAGAGAAAGGTCGAATTGATCTGAGGTAATCTAGCCTACCTCCTTGCCCTGAGCTGAACTGCTTATAATGATATAGTTTCTGATAGATGCATGTTGTCTGTTCTTAAGGCTAACTTGCCCTCTACTTAGGCAGACTAAAAGTTTTCTATTTTCACTGCCATTAGAAAGCAGTCTAATGCTAATACTGAAGTTACATCTTGCAGTTTGAGCTCATTACTTCTCATCAACCTAGCTGGGACACGAAGAGTAGATTGACTGCTTCCTTTCACTTCATAGCAGTCTTTTACATGTTTGAAGACTGATAACCTATCTTCCTTAGTCTTTTTTAAGGGACTTGGTTTGTTCAGCCTTTTTTTCATTTCCTGATGGGAAAAAAAACCCCAAACCTCTTACATTCTGTTCTCCTTTAAACTTTTCCAGTTCCCACATCTTTTCCTGAGCAGAAATCCAAAGCACTCCGGTGCATGAAGGCAAATTCCTAGTAGCAGACAGCACAGGAGGTTGGCATGAAATCTGCATCTCCCCTTAAATCACAGTTCTTTTCTCTCTTCAAAGTGATGCTACAAGGCAAATCCCAGACGTTCCCACTGGGCCCAAATACGATCGAGTTTTTGTCAGGATTGACCCAGTGATGGCTATCCTAGATGCAGAAGGGGTATATTCCCAGCAGTCAGCATTCATTTCGTGGTGTGGGTTTATTGGGGGAAGCAGATCACCAGGAGCCTGGAGCCTCCCTTCTAGGACTTCATGGTGTGGGAAGAGCAGGCAGGTTACACAGGCAAAGACACTTGGCTCAGCAGCCCTGCACTCACCAGGGCCTTGTGTCCCCGTCAACAGCTACGATAAAATCTGTAACTCCTTTAGGATTATCTGCCACCTCACCGACCTATATCTTAAGTAACCCACCTATGCTATTGCCATTAATTAGCATTTCATCATTAATTTAGGCAATCCCCGTCTCTAAAGGACACCTTCGTGTTCCCTCCGGTGTGTTCAGCGATCTAGCGGGGCTGTAATTACACCACGAGACGAGAAAAATCTCTAACAAATGCCTTTTTTCTCTCTCTCTCTCTCCGTTTTCCTCACGCAAGCCCTGCCCCGCTGAGGCAGGAAGGCTGGCAGCAGGGAGTTAGGCAGGACAAGAGGAGCGAAGGAGTGCGGCGAGGCAGCGGGGCCGCAGCGGGGCCGGCCCGGCTGTGGCGGGCGGTGCCCGCCGGGCCCCTCGCGGGGAGCGCCGGGCGGTGCCTTCCGCCCGCGCGCCCTCTCACCCGGCGGCGGTCGCGGCTCAACGCGGAAGCGATGGCGGCCCCGGCCGGGGAGGCAGCGGGAGGCGGCGGCGGATCCCCGTCCTCCGCCCGGCGGCGGCTGCGCATCATCTCCGGGCACCTGCGGGGCGCCCCGCGGGCCCCGGGCCGGGGAGCGCTCTCCCCGAGTCCCTGCAAGGCGCAGGGCGGCTCGGCCGGGCCGGCCTCCGGCTCCATCCCGAAGAAGCGGTGGGTGCGGGCGGGGTCCCCGCGCCGCGCCGGGCGGGCTCCCGGAGCCCTCGGCGGTGGGTGCGGGTCGGGACCGGGGCGGCCCGTGCTGCGGGCGGGGGTCTCGCTCCCGCCCGGGAACGGGCGCGGGTTGCGGGGCCCGGAGAGGTCCCGCGTGGGCCGTGCGGGGGGAGCGGGGCTCGGACGGGTCGGGGCGGTGGCGGCGGCGGGGATGGACGAGGCTCATCTCAATCGCGGTGAAGTGTTAACGCTGTTCGCCGCTGTAGGGTGAACTGTGCAGGAAGGAAAGCGGAGGAACGTGGTCTTCAGCACCTTACCCCCTTCTGTATGAGTGGGTTTGTGTTAAAATGGAAAGTCGTCATGGTCATCTTAATAACTGGAGATGTGATGGAGAAGTTTTGTTTTTATGAAATACTTTAGGGTCTGCTCTAATGAGGAGCGCAGCACGTGTGAAGGGCAAGGTCTGTGTATGGGCTCTCACTCCCTGTTCTCAGACATGTGAAACCTTCAGCTGATGTGAGTGCTGTCAAAGCATGCTCGTACATTAGGCTCTAGCTAAAGCTTCGTAGATATGAATAATTTTAAACATATGAACTTCTTTTTCAGAGTTTTATCGAGTAGTAAGGTATCTCAGGTCATGTGAGACCAAGAAAAGACACATAGCCAAATTCCTTAGTTTGTTCTAGGTCTAGTTCTAGTCCTCTGCTTCACTGGCTCTTGGATGTATTTACTACTCGATTTTTTTAAAATGATACAATTATACTACCATGATGTAGTTTCATGTGACTTATTATGAGGCCCCCTTTCTGCTGGGGTGGACATGTATTAATTTTGTGACTTTTTTTTTCCCATTTCTCAGATGGGGATTTTCTACATAGGCATTGGCTTGCTATCTTATAAGAGCATTTTCAGGTTTAGGTTGTACACAACTTAATTGCTCTCCATTGAGCTGTGGACAGGGACTAGTATGTTAGCGCATGGGGGTTGTTGAAAGGCAGATTGGGCAAGCAGTTGATTAAGAGAGTTATTCCTCCTCTGAGAAAAACCCATGCTTTGCTCTCAGCCTTGTCAAGAAAAGAGTGAGGAACAGCCAGTCTTTGGCCCAGGGCTACAAGCAGAACCTACCTGCTTTGGGAGGACTGGGATGTCATGCACATGTAGTCAAATCTGAACAGTTTTGAAAGCTTTTAGTTCTCACTGAGGGGAATTTGATGCTCTTGCAGGAGGTGTGTCAAACAGTGCTGTTCACTGGGACAAATAGGTCATTCCAAAGGTGTTGCCTTCCATATTGAGTTTTTCTTTGGTTTGAATTTAGAAAGAAATCACTGTTTCTGAAAAAATATCAGTTTAGCTAGTTTTCAGGGATTTATTTTAAATGGATTATTGTTTAGTTTCTATGGCCAGTTATTGCATCCATAAAGAGCAGGAGAAGCAAGCTTTCGTGAATATGCATGTAATCTGAAGGAAGGGTTCTTTCTCCGTGGAAACACAGACTTAGGGAATTTAACACTTGTACATCTACAAGATATTGACATTGCTCTCCCCTGTAGGATTTTCTATAGGTTCATAATGGATTACTGTTTTTACTCTACTCAGAATAAAAATTACGTTGCTTCAAGGAACTTAGGATCAAAATAGTGCTTTGGATACTGGATACTTTGCTGTGGGGTTGTAAGGGAGATGCTGGAAAGCTTGGTCTGCACAATAGGTACAACTGTCTTCTTGTATTTAGAGCCCAGCCTTTTTTAATGTATAGAAACAAGAAAAACTAAAAGGGAGTTTTACCTCTGTCTTAAGGTTCCATCTGAACATCTGAGATGTGGTTGAAATATGCTTAAGATGTTGCATGTGAAAATTCTGATCATTAAATATAGCTGGCATGTGAGTATCTTGGCTGAGTTTGTGTTTGAGAATAATATCGAGGAGTGATGGGGGATAAAGACAATTCTGTTGCCTACAGTGATTTGGAAAGTGGTGAACACCTGAGTCCTCTTCTAGTGCCGACTAGCTAATTTGGAGTTGTTTTTTGTGAGACCTAGAAGACTGATTGAAAAATCTAGTAAAAATAACTGATGTAGAGGTAGGGCATGGCTTTTATCAGCCATGGTAGGACCATCCTAACCCAGATGCTGTTTTCTTGCAGTCTTCTGCATGCTGAGTCAGCTCTTCTGATTCTTTTGACCTTTTACTTTGTTTCCCTAGCAAAGCTGCAGCTAAAGGTACCTTTAGCAAAATTTTTGTTCATTACACCTGTTACATCTTTCCTGTAGTGTTTGAAATAGCGGCACAGCTACAGACACTTCTTTAGCAGATTTAGCTGCACTCTCCTTGTGTTGCATTTCTTCTGCAAAGTAGATGGCTTTCTTTGATGAAAAAAACCCTTTGTAGTACTTTAGGTCCATGATCACAGACATTTTTTTCTGACTGTTTTTCTAATAGTCACAAGACAGTGACCTCTAGTAACATGGCTTTCTTGTTGATAGTGCAGAGACCAAACTGCTAAGGATCTTATCCGGACTTTATTTGTCACCAGCGATGGGAAGAAGGAAAATATGTGGAATTGACTGAAAGTCTGTGGGTCTCATCAAACTGCTCCTGTTTCCAAATAAAAATGCCTCTGAACTATACATTTGCAAATTGATGTGTTTAAAAAGTAGAAAGTGTATTATAATCTTTAAAATTATGATTATCAAGATGGGAAAATTCCTTAAAAGACAAGCAAATATCTACTTGTCTGAGTATCCTCTTGAGAGAAACTTTAGGTACTGTAAGAGTAGAGAGATGTTACTTTTTAGTGGCATTCCTGGCTTGAATTTAATATTTTATTGAGTGATGCAGTGAAACATGGGAATCGTAGTTACATGATGTGTGTTTAAGCCATAGGCATGCTGAAACACTTAGTAAAAAAATTGAGCTGGAAAATAACTCTTCCTTGAAATTACTTTTTCTGAACTTTCATTTTAGGTTGTTGACTTTTGTTGACTGGTTATTAGTAAGCTCACTTTGCTGGTGTTAAGACTTGGGTTAAAAACTTACTAAATCTTCAAAATAACTGTATGTACATGAAGTGTTCAACAGGTACTGTTTTGGAAACAGGTGCTACAACTCCCTAGAACACGGTTGTATCAGAGTAACTGTTAGATATGCTAGAAAGTAAGAGTGCTCCAGAAATGGAGCATTAACTGATGTTGATCTTGTCAAAATAACTTATTCAAGTTAAACTGTAAATAATTTGATTTAGTTGAAATGTTGACTCAGTAGCCTGTAGGCTTAACATTTTCTTCTTCCCTGGAGCAAAAGAAAGCAGGACAGGATCTCCTGATTATCCTATCTGTTTGTGTAGAAGCTGCTTTCCTGTGGGCTGAAGAGAGGCTTGCAAATATCTTTTAATTAATATGGGCATACTGTTATCCAGGGTAAACTAAGGTGTAGCCAGCTGACTGCTGTGTGTCGAGTTCACAGCCAAGTTGTTCAGGGTGATGTGTTAATGTCGCCATACCTTCATATAGACTCTTGCAGTTCTTGCTGTAGTTGCTGCTAATGGTTATGACTTTATTAAGCAGTAACATGAATTAACTCCTAAAGAATTGGTACTACTTGAATTTAACAAGTGACATCAAAGTGCATTCATATCTTACTCCTAAAATTCATACCCATCTTTATAATAAAGATGTAACTCTTTAGACAGCAATGTTTAAGCAACACTTGATACTGAACTGTATCCTGGTATAGCTGACTTCTGAGCTTAAGGTAGTGGAAGGAAGGAAAGGGCTGGGGCCACTACAGAGTCTTAAGAAATCAGAAGAGTAAGAAATCAAGAGCCTGTTGCATCGGGGAAGGTGTGGCAGTTCACAGGAGGTTCTGTGATTGCATCAAAGCAGTTAATTGTTAGTTGAGGTTAATGCTTAAAGTAGAGGAACAGATAAAGAAGATTCTTATATGGAGACATTATTCTGATGAAAAAGTGTCATAATCTGATGACAAATGTGACTTCATATGCAACAGCAATTCCTGTCTGACATCTAGATCCAAGTAGTTGCATGCCAGGCAGATGAAATATAAGAAATCTTTAAAAATTTAAGTAATACAATATCTAGGTAAGGTCATTTGATACCAACTAAGCCGAAATGCATATATGCATTAGTTAAATTTGATTAGAAAAAAAACTAGATAAAAGTGTAAAGCGTGTTTAATATGTAACATTCAATATGTATCATATGAAAGCAAGTAGCAGTTTATTGTGAAACCTGAAAGAATTTTGTAGATCAGCTTCTTGATATCTATTGAAATCTGAACTGTTATGTACAAGACATTGAATGTGTATATATAGCTGTATACTTTAAATTGATGTGTTTATTTAAACTGAAAAGAATTAGAATAATCTGTTAATGCAATAGACTAGAGTAATTACTTGGACTAGAAGCTACTTTGAGCCGAAGTAAAGTAAGGAGATCAGTAGTGTAAGAAGTTGCAGCCAACTAGACTTTCCTGAATTGTTAGTGTACTTCTTCGTAGAAAACAAATAATGTTGAGTATCAAAAATGAATTGTAGGCAGGATATGATGGACAAGCATAATGCCTCTGCCTCTGTGGTGTTGTTTTATCCAAAAATTGGGCTATTGTGTGCAAGTCTTCAGGGTTGATAGTGAAGGCCAAAAAGTTTTCTTTGGCAATAACATGTTTGCTACAGAGCATGCTAAAAAGCCCTCTGTGGAATAGGGAAAAGAATGTTGCCCAGGAACTGAACTTACTTTGCTTTCACAGATTAATGGCAGACAATTGATTCCTTCACTAAGTTGTTTCTTTTAAGATAGCAAAGCAGATATTCTGGTTTTGCAAGCTGTCAGGAAATCCTTCTCAAAAGACTGATCTTTGGTGTTTGAAAAATCTTTAAGTGCTTATTCATTTACTGCCTGGAAGTAGCCATGTGTACGCATTTTTGTAGTAGAGCAGTTTCTTCAACGATAAAAATGAAGCTAGTGTCAACTGAAGTAGTAGGT